TTATTCAGACCAGTCCGGATCCGTCGGGAACCAACCATTCGCCTGTCGCAACCGTCCGCTAACTGCCCGCACCCGCTTCTCCGCGATTTCGCTCTTTCTTTCTGTAGGTGTTGACTACGGAGCACCACCTCACACCCGAAGAATGGCTTTCCTGGGCAATCAGGCCGCTACTATTGCGACGACCGCGGCTCCGCCGCGATCTTTTTCATTCTTCGACGCACCCCGGGCTACAATCATTGCTGCCCGCCTCTTAACCGCGCACCCGTGAGATCCGGAGCCGTTGTTCCCTTCGAATGTTGGGAATCCTTTCAGAATCTCGCTTGACGGGTACCGAAGATTGTCAGAGTCTCGTTGAAACCTTGTCGATTCCCCGGTGTAACTGGTATTGTCTGATAATGACTGATATTCTCCGACAGGATCGTGCAATTGCCGGATTATTAAACGCAAGACATTCGCACGCATGCATAGATAGTGCGAGATTCGATTGTAGAATCAAGAGATTATGGAGCATTTTCACGAACATTCATTTTACAGACAAATGCTTGATCAGGTATGCTCCAGACGCTACGCTCTAGCTACCGATGCGAACGATTAACTTATCAATTGTACCTAACCGATGTATCGTGACTAAATTCGTTGGTCACCGTTTCTCACGGAGCTGAACGAGTTGAATTAGCTCTTTACGCAACCACTTGTTTCACGGTGAGATCAGAGGGGAGGAACGCGCGTTTAAGGACACCTCGCGTACGCGACCAGAATCCGTATTCCATGCCCGCGAAATCCTGGAGTGAATCTAGCTAACGGATCTCCGAGCATCGTCGATCGTTAAACAGATTTGCCGTTACGAGGCCGTGTTTCAACGCGATGGCAGTAAACAGTGCTCGGTTTGTCTCGTTATGACTGGAAACCGCTGCGCATGCAATTTCCGCGGGACGACGGACGCCGGAGACAGGATGGAGAGCGGCAAACGCGACGCTAGAGCGTGATAAAATTCTCTTTTTTCCTTTTTTGTTTTTACCTCTCTCTCTCGTTTCATTTTCCTCTATCGGCGGACGCGCGCGCGTATGTGTGCGCGTCCGTGGGAATACGCAGTTGTCACGTTATCGATACCCACGAAAGTGGCATTAACTGGGCTGACGGTTATCGACGGCGGGGGATCACAAGCAAGCCGACGTGTATTATTAAACGCTGTTAACTTTATACACTTGTGACATACGTGCCAGCCTCATTATCACGATTTAAGCACGTCCGCCTATCGCGCCGCAGCGCACGGTGAAATTGCGGCACGTAAAATCGTTTCGCTGGAACCGCGCGCGGTTTAGACAACGGACAATCTTGATCCGCTGAAATGCGACCGCTCGGTTTTCCCTCTTTCTCTCCTTCTGTTTGTCCTTTTTTCTATTTTGTTTCGTTTGTTCCGCGCAGATCGCTCGACGGGATAATGCGAGCGACGAAGGAAGAGGAACGAGGGAAAACATGGTCACGTGAAACAGAGCTCGATGGATTGCGAGGGAAACTGTCCAGCCGACACCGTTGAACTCACGTAACACGGGGTGAACGAATAAAAAAGATTCCGTGTGGATTATCGTTCTATCCGGTTGCGAATTTTACGTAGATTTTGGGAATGGCACTAGGAATCAATCGAAATTCGTTGAAATTGTCTTTGCCGCGAACTGGCAAACGCTATGCAAACGTGGAGAATAGTAGTGTGATAGATTTGACAGCGGTACAGTGAAGAATTCAACAGAATTCAAAATTGGAGGGCAACAGTAACAAATTTTCAGTAGAAAAGTTACAAAGAAGAATTCTTTGGGAAGGTGTGCAGAACCTACCGAAGTTTACGAAGCATATAGCCGTTTGGGCTTTTAAATCGTAGAAGGTATTCCGTTAGTTTGTTAACTTGAATATTCCTTGAAGAATAAACTAATTGAAGTGCATACGATCGCAAAGATCGGATCAGTTATCAGAGGGTTGGCAGGGTGGTAGGCGATGATGGGGCTCGCGTGTAGAATAACTTTCGTTTCGAAACAAAACCCGGGGAACTGGATAGGTTCAAGTAATTTTCAAATAATTACCTGTCCAAGCCGGGTCTAGGAGGCCCGATCCCTCGGCCGTGCGATGAAGGAGAATAAATGTATTCCTTCTGGCTAGCGTGATGGCCTCCACGGCTACCGGCGCGGCGTCCACGGTGAGGAATAATTTTCGATGGCGGCCAATGATTTTCGAGCGTCCAACCGGACCGCTTCGATCCACGATCCTTTATTCATCAGAAATCGGCACAGTGAAAAAATTTCGGGAGCGGTCGGGATGATGGTTGGCCCCCAGACGTCGGGCTGCGCCATTATGGCGTCGCTAGATGACGACGAAACAATGCCCGTGGAACGCGAGAGATGAAGCTTTCGAGAACCTTGAGCGTAGAAAGTGTGCAAACGTTTAAAAACTTTGGCAACGTTAAAAATTCGTCGAAACTTGACAGAGCTTTACTACGATCGTTGTATCGAATGTATAATTAGGAAATTTCAGGTTTGAACGTTGTTAGAGATACTTTTGCCGAGGAGTAACAGTTGAGACAGTTATAGTTAGCTGGTTGACTGTCGGATTTTCGAAGATTTTCTTTTGAATTTCAACAGGAATTCTCTTGGATTCCTGTCGCACAGTGACGGTTAGGCAGAGGCTATATCTATAACTATTGCGAGTTACTGAATTGTTTGAGAACTAGGGCAGCGTGACATCCGTGACACTAGTCATTAAACGTTGCAGCGTTTTCCAGGCTATTAAAAGAACCCGCTGTTAATTACTGGATTAATCATAATTATTAACGCTGCGCATAGGTACCGACTTACGTACGGCTTGCACACGCCGTCGTATGCAATTCTTTTTCGTCGGTTCATACATTTCTTAGTTCTATAGGCAACGAACGACGGGATTTCTATGACGTTGCAGCGGAAACTTCAACGTCGCATAAGATAAATGCCAGAGGTAACGAGGTAACGATAGAGAAGTTCTGCGAGTAATATCGATCGTTTGCTCTGTGAATTAAGAATGCTCATAATTGCATAGCTAGGTGAACAGCGAGAGTCCGCTAGTAATTCTGTCTGTTGCGAAGTCAATGGGACGTAACACTTCGAAGGCGTAACCCGAGTAGCCGTCGGAAACTCGTTTAACACGGTCTCTGCGCGACAAACGCGTATATTCTAGGTTTATATCTATCGAAGCAATTAAAAGTATAGTTTTTGCTCGGGAGTAACTTACGTGTAGACATTTCTGCGAGAAAAGTAATAGAAGGAGTGCATAAAATCCACTGAAACCACGAAACGAAAGAAACGCTCATTACTATATTATCTATAAATATTCTAAGAACATATTAACTCATTTAACCCGGTCCAAATCATTTCCAAACTCTAACACAAACAAACAGAACTTTACGAAATTCGAGAAACTCAGTACAAAGAAGTTCCAAAGACAAAACTCTAAACGATGATAATAGCAGTTCAAAGTAGAAAGTGCCGATATTACAAATAGACGAATAATCAAAGGTACCTCTATCAACGACGAACCGAATCGAAGAATCCAATAGAATCGATCGTACCTCCATTTCTAAACGTGAAACGTGAAACTCCAGGAACCAGAAGGAAAGAGAACCTCTCGAACGTCCCCGGCAATTAGACACGCCGCCATGATGGCTTTCCACCTGCAATTTCCAGAGAACGATCCTCTCACAGGAAGCGAGATAACGCGGAATAAGGCATGCACCGGCGAACCGCGAGTGCTTACCAGGAATCGGTATAGAATCTCTGTACAGCGGTGGCCTTGAGACCATTTTACTCTCAGGTCCTTTCATCCCAGGCATAACTCGTCGTTCAAGCCCAATTTTCTCATTATCGCACCTCCGTTCTGCAATTCCTCCGGTTCTCCGCACGTC